ATGATTTGTTGACACTTTGCCTTATGAGGCCGACTACAGTTATTTGGTTGTTTGTTACTGTTGTATAGTTGTTACTTAATATGTATCAGAAATTTGGGAAGTTTTTTAAAGGATTGGATGCTGGAATGTTTAATGGTCTGACAAATAAGCTTACAGAAAAGGAATTTATTAGAAGTATTGAAGGTTATGATATTCTCTGCTTACAAAGAGCAAAATGTGATAAAGAAAAGGGTATTTGCATTGATGATTATGTGACTCATGCTGTTTTATAGACCAACAGAGAAAAATTATCCTGTGTCTGGAGGAATGTTATTTTTACTTAATCCTGGTATAATCTCAGGCATTACAATATCTGAAAATACATTGTAGTGAAATTCAATGGTTGGAAACTATGTAAACATTATTTTTTTCATTGGAAAAATGATCTTTATATTTTGCTTTAACTTATAATGGCACCAGAACACTCTTCATAATGTATTAAGACATAACTTAGACATTTTATCCATTATTGAAAAAGATATAAGCATTATAGAAATTTAGGAGATATTATGCTTTTTGGGGCGATACAAATGCCAGAACAGGAGTTGAAAATGATTTTTTAGATGCTAATTGTACAATTTGCCTGCCCCATTTTTGAAGGGAATACTGGGTCATTTCTGAAAAGAAAAGCCAAGATAGTGTTTGTAATAGTAGAGGTAAGGGAATTCATTGATCTTATGCTTATCTGCAAACTTAGTTATCTTAAATGGGCGGACTTTTGGAGATTTAGGTGGGAAAGCCCACAATGTTTTCAGTAAATGGAAATAGTGTTGTTGATTATTGTGTTGTTAATGATGAGCTATTTGATAAAGTTTTGTATTTTCAAGTAGAGAACCATATTCCTTTTTAAGTGATCATGGCTAAATTGGAATGTAAAAACTGTATGCAAAAATTCAAAACTGTTAACATTGAAAGTACGCTTTTAGATATGCCTACATCCTGGAAATGGACAGATACGTGCTAGTTTAGATTTTAAAATTGCTCTTTCCTCTATTGAAATTAAACAGAAAATTGAGAGTTTTGACAGTGATCCTTTGCAAAATGTTGATCAAATGGTAACTAATCTTTAATGACATTTTGTATACTGCCTGTAACAAATCAATGAAGAAAAAAGTTAAAAAGTTAAGAAACTAGACCGGTCCAGTAAAAAAGAAATGGTTTGATAGTGACCTTAGTATGATGGCGTAAAGAATTACTACGCAGAAGTTCACTGTATTCTAGAAACCCGTATGAAATATTTTAAAAGGATCAATTCTATAAGTATAGAAAATTTATAAACGTTGTTGTAAGTCAAAAGAATAGAATACTTTTAAAAAGGGTATTATTTCTAGATTAGATAGTATGTTAGGTAATAATCCATCTGAATATTGGGAATTAGTTAAAGATCTTAAGGAGGAAGGGGCCTAGCAAATGATCCTGCTAATAAGATATCGGCAGACGGAATGGATAAAACATTTTACAAATCTTTTTTGTGTAAAGAAGGAGTTTGAACATATTGACAAGAAATATGCTGATTTACTACAAATTGTTTTGAAAAAATGAAAACCTTCAATGAGCTAGACTTTTGCAATTTCTGAAAAAGAAATATCCAAAGCCATTTCTTCATTGAAAAACAAAAAATCTGCTGGTCTTTGACTCCATTACTAATGAAATGATTAAAGCTAGCCAAAGTTTTCTTTTGTCAAGTTTTAAAAAATTGTTTAATTGTATACTTTCAAGCGGTGTTTATCCATCTTCATGGAAAGTTGGTTATATTAAAGCAATTCATAAAGGTGGTGATACTAATGACCCCAACTGCTATAGGGGTATATCTGTTATGCCATGTCTATCAAAGGTATTTAATTGTATAATGAATAATAGATTACAAAAATTTATAGATAATGGAATTATTAATGAAGCACAGATTGGGTTTCAACCCAATTCCAGAACATCTGATCACATGTTTTGTAGTGAAAACATTAATAGATAAATTTTTCAGCAAGGGAACTAAATTATATACATGCTTTGTTGATTTTGCAAAGGCATTTGATAATGTTATTCACTCCCTTCTTTTGTATAAACTATGTAATACTGGTATATCTGGACCTTTTTCAACGTTGTTAAAAACATGTATTGCTCAAATGTGATGCACATAAAAGTTGGTAATAAGTTAACAGAAACATTCTCTCCCAGATGGGGGTGCGTCAAGGGGACAATCTTAGCCCAAATCTTTTTAAGATGTTTATTAATGACTTGCCAGCTGTATTTGATAGTAGTGATGACCAAGTGTGTCTAAATGATGTAAAAATTAGTTGTTTGTTGTATGCAGATGATTTGTTATTGTTGTCAACTTCACCAAAAGGTTTACAGAATTGTTTGAATAAGTTATCAACATTTTGTGACAATAATGGTCTTATAGTAAATCTTAAAAAGACAAGTATTTTGACCTTTTGTAAAAGTGGAAGGCTTTCTAGTGAGAAATTCTACTTTAAGGGAACTGAAGTTAATCATGTTAAAAGTTATAAATATCTCGGAATTATTTTTGCATCATCTGGTACTTTCAGTTACTGCCAAGATGATCTTTATAAAAGAGCACTGAAAGCAAGTTTTAAGATTAGTAAGGTTTTTGGTCAGCTACACCAAAATGTTGACACTATCATCCATCTTTTTGATCATACTATTAAACCCATTCTTCTGTATGGTAGTGAAATTTGGGTATACCAAATATTAGTAGTTCTATTGTTAAAAAAACAGATTATGTGTTGTTGAAATCCTTTGGAAATATGTCCTGTGATAAGATGCATGTGAAATTTTTAAAATATATTCTGGGTGTACACAAAAAAACATCAAATGAGGCAGTATGTGGTGAACTAGGACGGTATCCACTATTTATTGATGTAATATGTAGTTATGTTAAGTTTTATCAAAGACTGCTAAGTGGAAATGTTAGCAAATTACTGTCTGCTGCCTTTATTGAAAGTCAAACATTATTTACGGATAATAAAGTTTGCTGGGTTTCTTCTGTACAACATTGTTTTAAGCATTTAGGTATATCTGATGCTGGTTTAACCAATAAGAACTTAGTAAATGTTATTAAACTCAAGTTAGTGAAAATGTACCAAACCAACTGGTGTTTGAATATCTCAGGTACTGAAGGGAAACTTAGAACATACTCTTTGTTTAAACAAAGGTTTTGTAGAGAAGTGTACTTTAGCCATATTAAGGACAAAGATATAAGAACTTTCTTCACCAAGTTTAGAGTAAGTGCACACAGATTGAATATAGAAACAGGCAGATATAAAAAGATCCCAGTAAATCAAAGATATTGTAACTGTTGCTCTTCCAATCTTGTAGAAGATAAAATTCATTTTTCCATGTGTTGTACAAAATTTGATAGTAATAGAGAACTACTATTTAGACAAATTGAAATATCAAATAAGAACTTTTGTATGTTGAATAATAAGCAGAAATTTGTTTGGTAAATGTCCTCGGAAGACCCTAGAGTCTTGAATGTATTTTCTAAATACCTACTCGAAATTTATAATAAAAGAAATCTTATGTTAGGTAGTACAAGTAGTAATAAAAATTTGTCAGACCATTGAATGTATATCATTGTTCTTGAATATCGAATGAGTAATAAGTGTTTTTTTTTTGTTAATACTGTTTTATTCATTTACTTCTTATTTTAACATTACTATGCCTGTGTTATTTGTTTTTTCCAATAATACGAATTAAGCTTTAGTTACTTTATTGTCTTCATTTCTACCATACAATACACAAATTGTTGGTTGATATATTTTGTTTCATGCCTTATGTTTTATGCTTGTGATAATATATGTCATATAGTATGACCCTTGATTGGTGAAATAAAATTATTCTATTCTATTCTATTCTATTCTATAAGGAAAGTGCATGACCCCCCCCCCCCCCCCCCCCCCCCTGGCAGGGCAAATTTTGACTACAGGGCTGTCATTTTGAACAAACTTGGTAGACACCCATTAGAAGATGTTTGTTTCATGCTTATTGTGAACATTTGTGCTAAGTATTTTCCAAACCCCTTCATGGATAAGAAAGTTATGGACTGGACACAACATATACTCTCAAATAGACAATGTTGAGCTTTAATTACCAATCGCGACCTTGACCTTGGAGGTAGGGGTCCGGTTGTTGCGTATGACACATCGTCTTAACAAACATTTGTTCCAAGCTATTTCAAATTCCTTTGATAAATGACATAGTTACAGACCGGACACAAAAATGTGATAGACAGACAGATGAACAGACAGACGGAGCCTACATGTTGTATTTCTATATTCCCCTTTTTTTCTTCGAAAAGGCGGAGGACAATTATAGGACCCTGGGGACAGTCGAGTTATTTTGAAACATGGGGCAAGATTTATATTAGTTTTGTAAATGCAAAATGTTTTTGTTCTTGGCATTGGGATTTTTAGATAAGGATATTTTAAAAATATTTTGAAAATACAAGTAAACTAAGTGACCCCCAATTTTCGGCTATTTTGACCCTACAGCTTGAATTTTGTCAAGGTCCATTTGGCAATGCTACATGATAGGGCCCCTAGTACACAAAGGTGGCTTGAAAGGCAGGCCCTTTGCTAAGTTGGCAACAATTACCAGCCTTTAACAGGGCTACCTTACAATCCATCCATATTGTCATTAATCATTTTCCATTTGCTTCAGTCCATATTTAGTGTTGCTCGATACGTGTCACAAAAAAAATTAGATCTTATTATAAGCTTTGCTACCATGTAATGTAAATTTGCAACGATAGGCTAATTCATTTCATAAACAATTATGCAGCCCATTCACGTGGTTTACTATAAATAGAATTGTGTCGCGAAATCTAATGATAAATATGAAAAAACATTTTTTAACGTTTCCGTCAAAACTTTAAATAAATGCAATAGAACTGCTTATAAAACCTTCTTTTATCAACAAATAGCAAAATATGCTTTTATATCTACCACTTGATTCTGTTTTCGGTTTTTTTCGGTGAGATAAAGGTCAAGGCTAGCAGTAGAAGGATAAAAGCCGTACTGTACATGGCACGGTTGAAAGCGAATGTATACATTAATTTATTGTGCAACCTGTGTTTCTGCGAACACTTACAGCATCCTAATTAAAAATTCTTAACCAGCCAATACAAGATAACTATAGTGTTATCATAAATTGGACAGACTGAATAGTCCATTAGAGCTTGTACGGTTTTGTGACGGTTGAATTTCGATGATAACCTCCCCTGAAATGAGTCATTACAGGTACTCACCACAGATGTCGCATTACCCAGGTGTACACAAAAATTGAAAATAATATTTATTGAAAATATTTGCCATCAGAAATGGAAATCCGTATAATCGTCCAGTATTTCTCAGCAATTTTGATCTTGTCTAAAACAGGTACCTGAACTTGAATTAAATCACTTTTAAAGTTAATTACAATTACCTGTAATTACAGGTATGATGTTAAAAGAAGATGGGTGGGGAACTAAAAACAATACGGAAATGCTGTTTTTGCAAAATAAATGCCCTCTACTGTCACTACAGATATTAAATAGGAGACAAGGGATGGATTTTATGCTAACATAGCTTTAAATTGTGCCACTTTTCAAAATTATCTTTCTATCTCTCTTCCTAAATTTAACACCTTTTCAAAGCAGACTATGAGCTAGTTTGAATAGCAATATTAAGTGGGAAATTGTTACTTCTCATTTCTATCAATAATATTAAACAGCTTGTATTTTTAATCAAGTATACACGTAGATCAGTTAATTAGACTTGTCAAAGTAACATCAAATTTGTAGGGCAATGTCTTTTTCCAACAATTTGACAGTAAAAACAGTCTGTAAAATGGGTCAAACCTTTTATGCTTAAAAATTTAATAAGGCTTAGTTTCTGTACATATTTACCATTTGTAACAGAACTAAATAAAAGATTTTACATTTATACTGAGGATTATTTTTTCTCCTTTATGAATATGCTAATCTAATCCATTTTACAGTCCTATATTAGTTATTTTGTTTGCCAGTATTAAATTAAGTTGTAAGTCCACACTAAAAATTGATATTAAAGTTAGCTTTAGGTAACGCTAAGGAAATAGAAGGAAACAGTTTATGGGATTGCCTGAGAGAACATTAGAATATATTAACCTACTAAGTAGTTAGTACCTATTTATCATTTATGTTAGATTGTTGATTTTTTTTTTTTTGGGGGGGGGAGGGGTTTTACGTCACATCAACACAGTATAGGTCATATCGCAAAGTTCCAGCTTTACTGGTGGAGGAAGACCTCAGGTGCCCTTCCGTGCATTATTTCAGGCACGAACGGGCACCTGAGTAGAACCACCGACGTTCTGTAAGCTAGTGGGATAGCTTCCTCACATGAAAGAATCCAAAGTCCCTGTTGGGATTCGAACCCACAGCGGTGAGGGGCAAGTGGTTTGAAGTCAATAACCTTAACCACTCGGCCACGGACGCCCCAGATTGTTGATAATCTCATGTCTAATTTGCTTGAAACTTGGCGTGAATGTATACATATATAATACAAATAGAAAAATCAGGCTCTCCAAGTGCCATCAATATCTTTACACTGGGAATTTAAATTTAACAGTTATTACCCTTTGACTTGTTACTTGATTTTTTTATTAAGGAAACTACCTTTTTGGGCAATTTACATGTACTATGTATCTTGTTTATTGTGATTGGTTAGATTGTAATGAAACTCAGTATAATTGTATATAAATAGTAAGTAAATGATGCTTATCAGAATACAGTAGAATCATGTGTTTTAAAGTTATGGTTCTTTTCTAAAAATTTATAACAGGCATTTTTTAAAAGAACATTGTCATAATACTAATGTGTTAGGTTTTGATAGACCTGGGCACAAATGAGTACATAATGTACTTCATTAATCCAGTGAATGATCAATCAAGTAAAATTTCTTCAAGGTCTATGTGTGCTTTATTGAAATATAACTTCGGTGTGACAGTGATTCTTCAAGAAAAAAATCTTTCTGGAGATAATTTTTAAGCTATTGTGTTAGTTTTTAATCAAATTGACATGAATGTCTTAAATGACATCTGATAATATCTGCAGGATTGTTGTTCATTTATGGTTCTTTAAATTGAACATATTAGAATGGACAGTTTATATAAGCTCAAGTTGACAACTTCTGTCTACTCTTAAATTACATACAGAACAATACATTTGTATATATATAAAAACAGCATTTTAGATTATAGAATCTTAAACAGATAGTGATTTTGTAAGAAAAAAAGTGTAAGATCTTTGTTTTGTAGTTTAACTCTTGCAATTAATCTTTTTTTAAATAATTTAAAATGACTTAATTTGTTTCATAATTAAATTTTTTAGTAGCTGTATTTATTTATTCCAATATCTGTCGAACATCTTTTTCTTTTCATAAGCAAAACAAAGGAAATCATCCATCCAAACAAATACCAGATGAATAAAAAGTTAATTTAATTAAGTTAAATGTATATATTTTTTCCATCTCTGTTAATTACAATATATCAATTGCTTTGTTGTTTCTAATAATTCTAATTATGAAAATATATAGAAAATGTTTGTTTTCCATATATTTCAGGTGATGCATTAAATTGCTACCAGTGTGATTCAACATTGGATCACAATTGCCAGGAGTATTTCAACCATGACAATCCCAATGTTCCACTTAGAGCTACAGAATGCAAGATGTACAATGCTAAATTCTGTATCAAAGCTACTGGACTCTGGGGAGGTATGAATCTTATATTATCTTTATTTGCTAAATAATTTGCTCAAATGTATAATACTTTAATTACAATTATAGTAAGTTTAATTATTTCCAACAAAATCATGAATATTAAATTATACTGAAGATATAAAGATAATTTTCAATTAAAACATATTGAACAATTAAAACATATTGAATATACATAATAAATCTGTTCTAGTTATCTACTTAGTGAAAAAATAGTACATTTGTAATTTAAATGTAATTAAGTTAACTAGAAAGCCTTTTGGACTATATTCCTGTGTTAATTCTCTAAGAAGGATATAATATGATGAAAATATTCATTTATTCACTCTTTTATTATCCCCCGCCGAAAAATTTCGGCGGAGGATATAGAAATAGTCTCTGTCCGTCCGTCCGGCCGTCCTTCCGTCCGACATTTTTGTCCGGAGCATATCTCTAAAAGTATTTGACTTATCAACTTGAAACTTCATAGGTGGATAGACCTCATTGAAGAGGAGTGCAGTGCACAAGAATGATAACTCTACCTTGCATGATTTTTGAGTTATTGCCCTTTGTTATTTTTCAAAATTGATTTTTGTCCAGAGCATAACTCCAAAAGCCTATGAGATATTAACATGAAACTTCATAGGTGCATAGATCTCACTCAGGAGGTGTGCAGTGCACAAGAATGATAACTCTACCTTTCATAATTTTTGAGTTATTGCCCTTTGTTATTTTTCATACCTAATTTTTCACCTGAGTGGAGCATAACTCAAAAAGTGTTTGAGATATCAACATGAAATGTCATAGGTGGATAGATCTTATTGAGGAGGAATGTTGTGCGCAAGAATGATAACTCTTCCCTATACAATTTTTGAGTTATTGCCCTTTGTTTTTTTATGCTATTTTGTCCAGAGCTCATCTCAAAAAGTATTTGAGGTATCAACTTGAAACTTCAAAGGTGGATGGATCTCATTGAGGTGGAGTGCAGTGCTTAAGAATGATAACTCTACCCTGCATTATTTTTGAGTTATTGCCCTTTGTTATTTTTCAAAATTAATTTTTGTCCAGAGCATAACTCAAAAAGCCTTTGAGATATCAAAATGAAACTTCATAGGTGCATAGATCTCACTCAGGAGGTGTGCACTGCACAAGAATGATAACTCTACCTTTTATAATTTTTGAGTTATTGCCCTTTGTTCTTTTTCATACTTAATTTTTCAATTCAATTTTTTTCTCAAAAAGTATTTGAGGTATCAACTTGAAACTTCATAGGTGGATAGATTTTACTGAGGAGGGATGCAGCACACAAGAATGATAACCTACCATGCATTATTTTTCAGTAATTGCCCTTTGTTATTTTCAGCCATCAGTATTCACATAGGTTTCAAATCTGTAATCACTATAGCCATCAGTTTTCATTACCAAAAGACCTCTTAAAATGGAATTATTCTGCTCTACAACATATACATTCTTCCAATGAGCAAACACATTCGGCGGGGGATGGCCATGTTGACATGGCTCTTGTTCTATCAATAAACTGTAGTTGATGCAGTCATAAATACTATCATTACTAAATGATAGCTGCATTTATAACATGAAGATGTTAAAGGTTTTTTTTTCATTTGTGAATGATATCTTGTGTGATGATTAGTTGTCTTCTGTTTATAACAGGTATTGTAGGAACACACAGGTTCTGTAGTTCTCGTGACCTTGGAGACCAATGCCAGGACATGAGGTTTCCTGACCACAGTCGTAAATATCGTGGCTGCATTTATACATGTACTGGTGATGGTTGCAACTCAGCACATGGAATCAACTTTTCATTCACTCTGATGGCTTTGAGTTTGTTGTCAGTTGTTGTTGCCATAGTGATGAGGAGATGAAGCGGACAATGAAAATGAAAGAAAGGTTAAATGTTGTGACATTATGAAATAAAGTTATGTGTGTGTATAGACTGTAACCTATGCAATGGTGAATGAATGTACAATTAAAACAGCAAGTCGGCAAATGTTCTTCTTGTATATAAATGTTTAAGTTACTGATAACACATGTAATGTGTTCTGCTGAAGAGCATTCTAGTATTCTACACTGTATAAGACCTTACAAATGTAGCTTATTGTCATTTCAAGGTAATTTTTTTTGGCATATAGCTGATATTTTGTATCATATTTATATTGGAAAAGTTCACAAACAAAATTCCAAACATTAAATTGAAATTTTAAAAAAAATGAAATTTAAAAATTCATTTTTATTATTAAGTAATACTGGGTGTAATAGGTAAATTGAAAAGAAAAAAAGTCGATTGGTTTAGGCATAACAATGGTTTATATACATGCTCAAGATAGGAGGAGATGAGAATAAATTTAGTCTAACATTTTTGTAATTTTTATTTTTCCCCCTTTTCTAGCAAAAAACACTACAATAACTTTTCCTAAGCTCAAGGGTATAGGACATATTACCAAAATTACTGGTATTAAAAGTCATTGTTATTATTTATACATATTTCATGAGTAAGATTAGTACTGTAGCTTGTATATCACAAATTGCCTAGCTATGAATTTGGAACAGTCCATTCAAAGTTTCAAGAGTTTTTCAAGAGTTTTCAATATCAAAGCTTCCAATAGAATAGAGCATTACATTAATTAGACTGTATGGATGTGCCTGGCTCGATGGTACTGGCGCTAAAGACTAATTACACTTTTGATTTCACCAGTAGGTAAAGGATTAATATAAAACAGATGATATTGACACATGTTATTCCTAATTTCTGTGATTTCTTCAAACTTCAAAACGTTGGTGACATTAACTCAAGTAGTTGTATGCATGACAGGATTTTCATTTTTGTACATGTATAATAGATATGTATGATATAACATGTAAAAACTATAAACATTCCTTTGTAAAATATCCCTATAACAGATTGAATAATATTTTTGTACTTAGATTTTATAAGGTTACCTCTTTATGTATATGTATATATATTTGTAGTCATTCAAATCATTCTCCAATCTGTATATACAGTTACATATAGTGGTACATCATATCATTTTCATTCAACTAAGAAGTGTCTGTAAAATCACATGATAATCTCTGTAAATTTGGATCTGGTTTTGACCTACATGTATGACAACTAATCCCCAATTAATAAATTAATTTTAATTGATTAATACATCAATAATGATTTTCACTATGGCATCAGTATATAAGTCATACCAGCCTGTATATAATAACAACACATTCTGACAACATAAACTTATTGTTTGTTCATAGCTGGTTTGATTTACTTGGGAATTTTAAGCTGTCAAAGTCTATGCTTTTAAAAAGATACCAACTTCATCACAGAGACAAGCCAGTGGTTATGTTCAGTGTTGTTAGCGATTAAAACAAAATTATTATTTTTAGTTGGGTTACAAATAACATGTCACTTTACATTGCCTCCGAACACAAAAGGGTGTTTTATTAGGTAGTTAAATATTTTAATGAACCACTGTTAGCTAGAAATTAAGGTTGCACAAAAAAGAACTAATCAATAAGATTTTTTTTAACAATAAAAATTATTTTATTAAAAAATAAAAACAATTTTCTAGATGTTTGGTTTTAAACATTATTTTATTTATTCATCAAATGTTACAATAAATTTACACCATTTATTTAGAAAAAAATTTTTTATACAAAATCATGGTAAAGTGATTGCCTGTTGAACTGAAACCTTAAAAGCGGTTTTGTCATGGTGTTCACTATTCTTGAGCATATTCTCTAAAATAAAATTTTCTGACATTTTTAAAATCTTTTTGTATTAACATTTCATAATTAATTTCATTTGTATAAGTTTCATTTTTTTACTTTGATTTTTTGGGTGTATTCAATTCAATTATGCCACAGTGTACAAGTGCTAAAAGCCTTTATTAATTTTCATTTAAAAAGATGGTCCTCAAAAAAGAACATTCTTTTCTTTTTTTAAAGAAGAATTATTAAAAAAACTCTTTGGGATATCTTATAAAAATGTAGCTCTGTTAAAAATTTCCATTTAGTTTCAAAAACATTTATTCTGAATCAAGAATATCTATGTTGTAATGCCTTTATAATCCCTACTGTGAGGAAAAAAATGTGTTTTTTTTAATTTTATGAATATTGACAAAAAAAAATGAAATAATTGAAATTTTTCACTTGAAAAAGCCATACAAAAATAAGGTTCGTACTTTTCAAGAAATGAAATCAATTGAAATTAATATTTTTATAATTAGCTATTTAAGGTCCACTTACATTAATAAAACATATCAAAACACAAAATAAAATGATTTATATAAAATCCTTTAATTGTTTTTGTTGTTTCTTATTCTAGTTGTGTCTTGTTAAAAGGGAAGCAATTTATAACTGCTCGTGCTTTGAAGTGACCAAAGTGTCTAATGTTCTTTTACTATTGATCATGTCTAAAAACATTTCTGCTAGAGAATACCTGTTTGTATTAGATAAGGAAGTGGTGATTTTTGTATTATATATTTTATAGTGTAAAGAATCGGTCATGTTAAAATTGAATTATCTCCCTTTATACCCTAACGATGCATATTCATTATGTATGTACCCTTCTACAATTATCCAAAACAA